ACGTTGCCAAGAAGCCTATGGATGAAAGGATTGCACTTGTGGTCAGCCTGAATGTGCCACAAAGGAAATGGTCGAATGTTGGAATTGAATCCGGACATGTATCTGAGGCAAGTGGTGTAGGAAATAATGTAGGGACCGATCAAGGAATGTGAATGATTAATTAGGGAGCACCGGTTGCAGCAACCCAATCAGAAACACAAGAAGGATACATAAGTGGACCTAGAGGACCCACCTACGAGGATTTGTATGTCATGATCAATACCCAATTTGATAATCTGAGTGCTCAAGTTAGCTATGGATTTGCTAATTTTGATCAAAGGGCAGCTGTGATGGAGGAAAGAATGGGGATTGAGAACGTGCAAAGATGGACCCCTTACGGATGGGATCCTAGCTACATGCCACCAGGAGGTTCTTCGGGAGGCTTCAATCAAGGTAAATAGTTAAGCCTTTGAGTTCAGTTAATAGATTCGTTACGCGTCTAGTTGCTTAAGTTTTAGCTAAGTTAGTTGAGAACTCAGAGATTCCTAAACCTTCAAAAGTGTTCCAACAGAAATTCCAAGCCTCTTTGTTGTAACTCCTTTTACCCTTTGAGAATTTGATCTACTCGTTTCTTCTAAGTTTCGGGGCGAAACTTCTTTTAAGGGGGATAGAATGTGACAACTCAAAATTTAATTTTATAAATCCAATTTTAAGAAATTCTAAAATAGCCATTTTCACTCCATTAAAATTTTTTGAGATAAATTGGTGTTTGAATAAATTATTTTGAGTTACATTTTAAATTAATTCAACACCGGAACTTATTTTAATTCCAAAATTCTAAATTTTTGGGTACTTCGCGTACCAAGTTTTAAACTGAGAAACCTATCTGAGTGAGACCGGGAGGAATCTGAATAAAGTGTTTGTCTAAGAAATCATTTTTGGGAAAATTATCTTTCAACCCCAAACTACCTTAAATACCAATTCTAGCCATGGTCCATAGAGTATGGTGAACCACACCACTCCAAGAGCTTTGCCCGAGACACTTTCTAGCCAAGCCTTTACCATTTTTCCATCCACCAATCATTGTTGATTCACCTAGGTTTTGAGCCACTATAAAATGAATAGTTATCAGACATTTGCCTCTTGATTCCCAACCTTGTCTTCCCCAAAGCTATACAAGAGAACCAAAAGAAAACACAGTAAGTTTCTTGCATTAATGCATCGCGTTCTTTTGCTTTCAAAAAAAAAAAAATATAGATATGTGGAAAATGAAACTACAAAATATAGCTCATACAATAATGTATATTGTCAAATTAAACTGTACTAGAACAAAAATGATACTTTGGTATTACTATAATGAAACAAGTGTGTGTAGAAAATGAAACTGAAAAATCGAGCAATATTGTCAAATTAAACTGAAGTGTAATTAGAATGATACTTCATGGGCCACATTACTACATGGACCATGGTTCACAATAAAATTTGCCCTAATCAATCATTATATTGTGGACCAGGGTCCACAGTGCTATACAATATCGTTTTGAACATTAATTTTAACGGCGATCGTATGTTGTTCAGTTCGCGTTACAGAAGTTTTTTTTTTTTTTTTTTTTTTTATATATATATTTTACTGTAAAACATGTGTATGTATATCGTTTATGCATTTCTGTACATCATGTTACGGAGTCTGTACCTGAAATTGTTTAGTAGTTGTATAACACAATACATATTGTGTGTCTTATTTTACGAATTTATGTCTTGTATTGTGAAATTATGTGCCTATAGGACATAGATTATTTACATAAATCAGATCTGAGAATAAGTAAAATAGAGAACATGTGTATGTATATCGTGTCATGCGTTTCTGTATATCATGTTATGCAATTCTGTACATTAAGCGTAAGGATTCTGTACCTGAAATTGATTAGTATTTGTATAACACAAAACATATTGTGTGTCTTATTTTACGAATTCATGTCTTGTATTATGAAATTTTGTGCCTGTAGGACATAAATTATTTTCATAAATCAGATTTGAGAATAAGTAAAATAGAAAACATGTGTATGTATCTCGTGTTTTGCATTTCTGTACATCATGTTATGCAATTCTGTACATTAAGCGTAAGTATTTTATTTGAGAATAAGTAAAATAGAAAACATGTGTATGTATCTCGAAAAGTTACGGAGTCTGTTAAAGCTTAAACATCAAACAACATCGTTTTGATCCAAGGTCCAAAATGCTATGTGGACCTTGGTCCACGATATAAATTGCCCAGGATGGCGCTTCTTCTCATATGAAGCAATTCACCTACCAAATTAATCACTATATTGCTGAAAACATCCCAACTACCCCTCATGTAGGGGTGAGAAAAAAAAAAAAAAACTCAACCGACCAAAAAATCGATGACTATAAATTGAATTACTTGACTATTTCAATTTTTGGTTCGTTTTATGATATTAAGGTAAAAAAATATTCGGTCATTTCAGTTTTTCGATTGGTTACAAATTTTTCAAGAGAAAAAATCGAAAGTCGATCGAAAAATTAAAGATTAATTCAAAGAAAAAAATCTAACCTCAACTCATTTACATTTTGTAAGTCCACAGTCCATTACATTAATTTTAATGACCTATTGGATTACATTGTATTTGTTAACGATATAATGTATAAATATAGTCCATTTATATCCCACTAAAGTACTATTATATATAGATTTGACAATTATAGACACGACCCGTTAACACGACACGAAACTGGACACGAAAATAACGGGTTAGTGTTTAGTCTTAACGTGTCCCGGGTTGTTAACGGGTTGACCCGTTAAGGACCCGTTATGCTTCGGGTCTTAACGGGTCAACCCGTTAAACCTATTAAGAACCCGTTTAACCTGTTAATATTATCGTGTCAACCCATTAACACGAACCCGTTTACCCAACCTGTTTATAACCCGCTAAGAACCATTGTCATAAATGAGATTACAAAAGATTTTATGAACATGACTAAGGATGAATTTATTACATTAGGCCAAGATCCTATGCACCAATTATTGATGTTCAACAATTTCAAATTTGAATTTTTATTGTGTTCAATTTTATTCTAAAAACTAGTATGAACTCCTTTAATTACGATTTTTGGATGTTATTTTAATGTTATGAATTGAATATTTTTAAATTTCATTAATAGATTGAACTGTAGGTTTTATTTCTTTTTTATAGAACTTAACTTTAAATTTTATTTTTTCAAATATATTAATAGAAATAGCGGGTTTAAACGGGTTTCGTGTCATATCATGTCGACACGACTTGAAACCTGTTAACAAAACATGCCTATCGTGTCAACCCGTTAACAAATCTTGTTCGTTTTTGTGTTAAAAATTTGAACCCGTTAACCATAACATGTCATGTCCGTGTTTAACCTTATCGTGTTCGTGTCGATATCGTGTCGACCCGTTAACGGACCCGATACACGAATTGTCAGGTCTACTATTATATGAGGACATTAATTTTAATGGGTTATAAATACCAAAATATTGTTTTTGCTTTAATAATTTGGTCATTTAGCATTAATCAAATAAATAAAATAAATTTAGTTGTTTTACAAAAAAAAATAAATAAATAAAAATAAAAAAATCGATTACATTTAACGAACTGAAAATCGTATGTTTCGGTTATATCAATTATTGTGATTGATCAATCAATTTTTGATCAATTATGAAGGTTTGGTTATTAATCGAAAATCGACTAATGCTCACACACCAACCCTTATGTCTCTCTAGGCCTCTAGTCTCGCCAAGGACCTTGTGGCAATATTGATCTATTGTTCTTCATTATGTTAAGAAAGTAGTTTTGAACAGATACTACATTGTAATATATAGAGTAGGTAGTATTCAAAAAAAAAAAACTATTGCTTGCTGCGAGGCTCTATCATGGCTTAAATGGAGATGTATTAATAACGTCATCCTAGAGTTGAGAAAGACATACAATTTCATTTTTTGTTAATGTTTCTCAGGATGATTTTTATTCTGGTTTTGTTATTGACCACTTTAGATTCTACTATTCGAAACGTTTTAGTTCGTCATGTTGGTAAATTAGCAAATCATTATGCTCATGCTTTGACGCGGACTTTAGGTTCTGAAGCTAGTTCAAGTGTGTGGTATTTCGTCTCCCCTTATTGCATGTCTTTCTGTGTAAAATTATGATAATTGTAGTTTCGGTTTTACTTTTCAAAAAAATAAAATAAAAGATAGGACGGTAATAAACTTTAAGAGCAATTAATTCATGATAATTGAAGATTCCAAAAAGAGGACTCAAGATTGAAAATAAAATCGAAACATATGGAACATGAGATCTTGCAACCTCTGCCTCGTCCAATCGTACCAAAAAAAAAAGGGACTGATTATTGGCAATGATTAGTTGATCCAATCTCTCCACCAAAAGCTTGGTTTCCTGAGAACAGAATGGATGGTATTATTCAAGCCATTAAAGACTTGGAAACTAAATTCAACGATGTGGCTCTCAGAGTAGAAGATGAAATTGAGTATAAGGATCGGACCGGAGGAGATTATAGTGTAAAATTCTTCTTCCTCAACTTAGAATCCGAATAACTTTACAACTACCTCAACTTGTCTCAAAACCCAAATCAATGTTACTTGTACCATTTCAAACCATGGCATGTTACTTGGCTTTGACGAACACAACACATTCAGAATAAAATAAAATAAAATAAAACAACATATATAGATCTGAGCTGTAAGATTCCACTTAACATTAAACAATATCATGTATATATGCTGTCATTATCTATCTAACATTAATCTTTACAATTAAGTTGCAGATTTTTTAACATAAAATTAAATACTAAAAGTTAGTGCTGCCGGCCTCTTGCAATTAAAAATGCTTTCCGTCTTGCAATTATTGCACTTAGAGCCATAAGGCAAATTGCGAATTGATGATAATTACTACACACACAAACATACTAAGTGAGAAGAAGCTAGTTCAGATCAGATCAGATCAAAGAATTGAAGAATGGCTTGTGTTGCTGTAAATTCTCTTGTGAGGACGATTGAGCTTGAGTTCTTGCAGCCTCTGCCTCGCCCAATCGTACGACAAAACCAACTCATCCCTGCCAATGAAAACTTGATCCAAAATCTCCACCAGAAGCTTGGTGATCTTATAGAGCTGTTCGACGAGAACAGGATGGATGGTATCCAAGCTATTAAAGACTTGGAAATTAAGCTTAGAGATGTGGCTTTCCGAGTGGAAGATGAAATTGAATTACAAATCGTACATCTTTATCAGGAAGAGGAAGATGAAGAGTTACTTGCAGGAATAGCAGGTCTTTTTATGGAAAAACCACAGAGGACTATTGATGCAGAAGAAGAAGAAGAAGACGACTTGGGAATTGCTGCAGATCTTTTTGTGGAAAAACAACAAGGAGAAACTTGGCATTCTTTCAAACTTGGTTGTATTTTGGAAGGAGCAATAAGAGACATTGATGCCATACAGAAAGAGTTGTCCAAAGTGAAGATGGAGTGTGTCACAGCTGCCTTGCAAGGAATTGGAAGGCAAGCAACTACAGTACTTGTTGCAGCTGCAGCTTCTACCACATGTTGTGGTGATGGAGGAATTGTCACGACGATGGCGGGGGATTCCTCCCATCACCAACACGCTTCACACTCCCACCCCCTGCACGGCAGCACCATAATGGTGGGAAAAAACAATGAGTTCCACATTGTAAAGGCGATGCTAATTCAGCATTCATCAAGGCAACGAGAAATTGTCTCCATTCAAGGTATGGGAGGTATCGGCAAAACAACATTAGCTAGACGAGTTTATGATGATCCATCGATTGCCTCCCACTTTGACAGGCGAGTTTGGGTTGTTGTATCACAATATCATAATAAGTTACAAATGCTCAAAGATCTTCTTAAATCAATGGGGGGTTGTGTAGTGGATAGCAGCACTGAAGAGGATCAGCTAGCTGAACAACTATACCAAAATCTGTTGCATCAAAGATACTTTGTTGTGATAGATGACATTTGGAGCGTTGATGCGTGGGATTCTATTAAAGCTTGCTTTCCAAATAATGCAAATGGCAGTCGAGTATTGCTGACTACTCGCTTTGCAAAGGTGGCTACTAGTATCGGCTCTAATAATGATTTTTCTCATCAAGTACAATTGTTAGATCAAACTGAGAGTTGGAATTTATTCTGTGAAAAGGCAAGCAAATCTGACTATGATGAGTTTGAGGCGATTGGGAGACCCATTGTTGAGAAATGTAAAGGATTGCCTCTGGCAATTGTTGTGGCTGCAGGTTTATTTTCCAAACTTTATACGCTAGATGAGTTGAAGAATGTTGCAGAAGCTCTAAATTCATCTGCAACAACAACAATTGATGAAGAATGCTCAAGGATACTCTCATCCAGTTACAATCACTTGCCTCACAGTTTGAAGGCTTGTTTTTTATATTTGAGCATATTTCCAGAAGATTTTGATATCCAGGTTAAAATAATTGTAAGGTCATGGGTTGCCGAAGGACTTGTAAAGACATCTGAGGATATGAGCTTTGATGCAGTGGCTAGAAGGCATATTCAAGAACTCAAAGATAGGAGCCTAATTCTTGTAAATCAGGCAAGTAAATGTGGAAGAAAAGTAAAGACATTTAGAATGCACGATTTAGTGCATTCTTTTTGTGTGAGGGAAGCTGAAAAGGAAAACCTTTTGCATGTTGTCTATGATAATGAGTCCAGTTCCCCTCCGAAAGATTTCCGATGGGTAAGAGTACAATCAATATTGTTTCACAGACAAACATCATATTCTTTAAAGAAATGTAGATCCATCATTTTTTCCTCAGTGCCTGGACGTTCAAAATTGAGATTTTGCCGTCTAATAAGAGTACTCTATAATAATTTAGGCTGTGAGATTGGAAATCTTGTCCATTTGAGATACCCATTCTTATGGATTCGAGCTCCAACCATTTTAGATCCATTTCGTTGTTGGAATCTTCAAGCACTTTTAGTTGATAGTATTGATAAAATGAGCTTTTTAGAATTCCCACAACTACAATATTTGTGTAGTTACAGAGGTCTGAGTGATATTCCCATATTTTTTCATAAAAACTTGAAGAGCATTTGTGGGTTGATTCCTGATCAATGCACAAAAGAATTAGTTACAAATATTCCGTACCTAAAGAAGGTAGAGATTCTATGTTGTAAAGATGGTTGGAGTGATGATTGCATTAATAACCTTGCCTACTCACACCAGCTCCAGAGTCTGCATCTTCGTGGTCAATTCCGCTTTCCGTATGTGATTCCAAATATTAACCGCCTTGTTTGCTTGAAAAACCTCATGAGGTTGATGTTTACGGCATTAAAATTTGAGTGGAAGGCAATTAATATTCTTAGCAAGTTGCCTAAACTTGAGGTGTTAAGGTTAAACAATTGTGACATCATTGGTGAAGAGTGGGAACTATTGGAGAAAGAGAATTTCGACCAGCTGATTTATTTGGAAATTGACTTCAGTTGTCACCTAAAGCAATGGGAAGCAAGTGCTTCTCATTTTCCAAATCTTGAGCGCCTAATCCTTAAAAAGTGTTTGGATCTGGTAAAGATTCCAGCTGAGTTTGCAGAAATTCCAAATTTGAAATCAATCGAATTGCTGGATTATTGTCTTCCTTCTTTGGTGGATTCTGCCAAGGAAATTCAAAAAGAGCAACATGAGCAAGGAAACGAAAATATGGTGGTCATTGAGAAACACATAAGACTGGTCGGTCTCCCTCCCTTACTTGATTATTTCACTCTTGTTTTTTTCCAAACTTGATTTCGTTTCATCATATCCTAATAATTTGTTTTCAATGATTCATGGCAGCTTCGCTCTCGCAATGATAAACATATTTGAGTTGATCCATATTTCAATCTATCAATGATAAAAGGTATATATATTTATAGTTTAGCTATATGTATCCTCCTTAGCTTCTTCATTTATTTCACTCATATGTGAATGTTATTGGTTTATAGCTTAATTTAGCGAGTGGAGATATACCAATCAAATTATAAATTACTTTCGTCTCTTGGTATGCTTTACTTTCTTTTACATGTTTAATGATAACTATATATGATGCTATAATTACATGCAGGGACGGAGCCAAAGGGGGCAGCTGCCCCCCTCATCCCATCCCCACCTCATATATAATCTTTGTATGTATATATAGTATAGGTTTTAGTATTAATACAAATAAACTAGTCAATGTCAACAAGTAGTTAGATTAGTTTGTAGGGCATGTGTTTGTTAATGGGAAAGGTCTTGGGTTTGAATCTTTGCATTAACATAGTTTTACATATTTTTGAGTCCTCCTATGGTTTCAACAGAGTCACTTTTTTAATATTTATAATGTGTTTTCTATTCAAATTATTTTATCAAATTAATTAGGTTTCATATTTTGTTATGAATATTTTTATAAAGTTTCGATGTGTTTTATTTTTCGCACATATCCAACAATATTTACAACTATATTTCTTAAGTAATGGTTATAAAAAAAATAAATACTTGTGTTAATACTAAGCCACTGCAATTGCTTTACACCAATGTATGAGGAACCTCAGACAAATCTATTGATGGGTGTCTCTATTATGTGATTTTCGTTAATAAGTTTTCAAAATATATTTGGTTATATCCATTTGATTGTAGTATATTTCGAACCAAATAAATACCCGGAGTATCGGGTAATTGATCCACAGGGAAGTGGTTGTATTAAGCACTAGCTACTAAATTATTCTTTGAAGCTAATCCTAACGATTGACTTGGATGGTTGCATAAAATAAATAAATAAAATAAAGCAATGATTCAGGGTAATGAAAACAATAGAGAGAGACTAAGATCCCTGGGGTTCAAGTGTTTAATCTCCTAGTGCCTAGCCTAATGTAATATAAAATCTGGGTTCATACAAGTGTGAGGATGCCAAGTGTATCGAGCTACTCTCGTAGTCACTAACACTGGTGAATTTCCACTCTCTTGGCTTAAACACCCAATAAAACAAGAACAAGAATCATAAATTCCTAACTACTACCATCTCTCGATGTGCAATAATCATTAATTAAACTCCCTAACAAAATTACCCTTTCTCAAGGTGCAACAGTTAGGTGCAATTGTGTGTGCCCTAAGCTATGCGCAACTCTCGTTGTGACAAAAACAAAGCAAACGAAACAAGTAACTATGGCCACTAATTACAAGCATCAAACAATATTATCACAATTGCAACACAAGTATTAAACCCAAATAATAATATATTAAAGAATCTGAGAGCTCAGGCACATAGGTTCATAAACACTTTTACTCAAGAATCTCTAAAGAATTTAGCCAAGCATGGCTAAATTATACATAGCAAATAAATTTAAAGAATTACAAATCATCAAAAGAGTACAAGAATGAACCAGACAATTTTCTCAAATTTCCCTAGTCTTTTTCTTGATAGCCAAGACAACTTGCAGCTGTTGATTTCTCTCTTTCTTGTCTCCAAGGATCTCTGAATGAATATTAGGGTTGAGGAAGGTGAAATTTTATAGCTAGAAGCCTAGAACCAATCTCGATAAAAATAAGAATTCTGTGCAAAATTGGACTGAAATTGCATCTAGGGCCGAAATTAGAATTCTCTTATTTTATTTATATAAATTGCCGTTATGCCTAACTTTTAATTTGCTTGGGAATTTCGCCCCTTTGAATTTGAAAAATGTTGCTGCCCTCCTAATTGTTGTTGCGCCTTAATTGTTTCACAGCGTCATTCTCGACACGTCGAACTTGCTGTGTACGCGCATTTTGATTCATTTTGACTCTAAATTTATTCCCGAACTTTCCTTGCTCTTAACCTTGACCTACAATGGTTCAAAAACACTAACAAATACCATAAAGCATTCAAAACAATTATGAACCATAATTAAATTATAAAATAAAGGATTATGCAATTAAATTACGAAAACTATGAACTCAAACCTATGAAATATAGATAAATCAATACTAAAAATGTGCATAATTAGGCTCACATCACCATTAAAATGAAAATCAAATGTGTTTATTTATAATTTTTCCTCAGTTTAAATGATTGGTTGAGAAATACTTTTGTCACACAATTGTTTCTGTCTACTCAGATAATGGCGGCGAGATCATTAAATTCATTCCGTTGTTCAATGCTCATGGTATTTCCCACTTTACTACTATACCCCTCCTCACACCACGGAACACAATGGTACCTCTGAGTGACGACACAGACATATCGTTGAAACCGGGCTATCATTACTCTATTATGTGTCCCTACCAACTTCATACTGGACCTATGCCTTTCAAACGGCTGTTTACCTGATTAATCGACTGCCAACACCGGTCTTAGGTCATAAATTCCCGTTTCAGACTATGTTTAACCAATTGCCAAATTATGACAAACTAAAACCGTTTGATTGCCTTTGTTTCCCGTAGTTACGACCATATAACAATAGAAAACTCCAGCCAAAATCCAGACCTTGTATTTTTCTGGGCTATGCTAGTTCTCGATCAGCGTACAAGTGTTGTAATTTTTCCTCCAATCACATTTATGTGTCTAAACATGTTCAGTTCATTCCTAATATTTTTCCCTCTCAAGAGATGCAGCTTACGTTTAAATCTTAAGATGATGTTGAGGATACACGAATTTTGTTTAAGTCTCTACCTATGGAGTCTGTATATATCCAGGTCTGCTACGTCTGTGAACAAAGAAAATTGAGCAATGTATATTTAATATTTAAATTTCTGGTTACATCAAGTTTCAATGCGGTGTGGGTACAAGTCTCTGTGTAGTCCTCTGATTCTTCAATTGATGTCTTAAACACTCCACCATTGAAGGGCCTCCGGGTTTCAAGTGGCTTGATCTTCAAAGAAGGGCTTGTATATATAGCTTGTTCTTCTTGATCTTCAAAGAAGGGTTCAAATGGCTTGATCTTCAATAGAGGTTTGGATCAACATGCATCAACATATGGGGGAGGAGGAGCTTTTACTTTCAGGATCACATTTTTATTGTGATCTCTGAATAAACTTCAGAGTTCTTTCTATGATTTTTCCTAGGATGTGTACATAGAAATGAAAGGCCCTATTTATAGCTGTAGGATAGAAGAGTTTTGATAGGTTCAAACTCTTTTGATATTATCTAATTAACAAATTAGATAATATCAATATTATCCAAAATATTTTAAATATACTAAAATTGATAAATAATCAATATTTATCAAAATTTAAGTGTCTACAAATGCCCCCTCGAGACTTGCTTGTACACCACTTGAGAGCATATAACACTCAAAAGTATGTAGTGCAAGAAAGTCTCGATACTACAACTTAAAGATATAAGGCCGTTTCAACTCGTGCCAAGGAGCCTTGAAAGATATGAGGCCGTTTAAACTCGTGCCAAGGAGTCTGAATATAAGGTCATTTAAACTCGTGCCAAGGAGTATCATTTAGCTTCCTCCGTTTCAAATTTCATACAGGGTTTGCCCCCATATCGGTTGAAAATGCCTATGAAGATATGAGAGGCAGAGATGTCCCATTGGGCGTGCCAATTTGTGAACAAAGAAAATTGAATAAAATTTAGAAATTCAAATTTCCGGTTACATGTCAAGTATCAATGCAGTGTGGGTACAAGTCTCTGTGTAGTCCTCTGATTCTTCAATTGAGGTCTTGAACACTCCTCCATTGAAGGGCCTCCGGGTTTCAATTGGCTTGATCTTCAAAGAAGGGCTTGTATATATAGCTTGTTCTTCTTGAAGGGCCTCCGGGTTCAAATGGCTTGATCATCAATAGAGGTTTGGATCAACATGCATCAACATATGGGGGAGGAGGAGCTTTTACTTTCAGGATCACATTTTTATTGTGATATCTGAATAAGCTTCAGAGTTCTTTCTATGATTTTTCCTAGGATGTGTACATAGAAATGAAAGGCCCTATTTATAGCTATAGGATAGAAGAGTTTTGATATGTTCAAACTCTTTTGATATTATCTAATTAACAAATTAAAAAATATCAATATTATCCAAAATATTTTAAATATATTCAAATATACTAATATTGATAAATAATCAATATTTATCAAAATTTAAGTGTCTACAACATCCACCGCCAATCCTATACATTCTCGATCCAACACCTCACACGCTAGCTGTCTCCTCTTCGTCTGCCTCTTCTGTATCTATTTCTGCATGCCCATGCTATTTCTCCAAAGTCCAGACAAATAACACCTGTTTCTGCCCATGCTACGTCGCCTAATTCCAGACAAACACTACCTGCTTCTTCCACCGTTGCTTTGCCCAATTCCAGCCAAACACCACCCCCTTCGACCGCTGCAGCTTCTTCCCATTCCAGTCCAACATCTTCTGCTTCGACAGAAGGTGACGTTGCTACAGGTTTACGTATAAACTCTAGCAGCTCCGTTTTGGCTGCTTCTACACCGTCCAATCCGCTATTCCGAGAAGATGGCTTGCCTTCACTGCCGTCCTCTCTGTCTGCCACTTCAACACCACAAAATACCTTGCGTCATTCCACACGTAGTCGGCGTCCTAACCCCAAATTTTATGGAGACCACTATCTTAACGTAACCTCACTATAACCCATCCCTTACCGCCCACTGTAGAACCGTCTACCGTCACCCAAGCACTTAAAGACGGTCCGTGGAGGAAGGCCATGGATGAGGAGTTTGAAGCCTACATAGTTCCTCATGGCACCCGAGTCCCGATAAGATGTAAGTGGGTTTTTCGAGTCAAGCGCAAGTCAGATGGTACAAGATCGTTAGAGAGCACGTCTTGTCTCTAAAGGTTTTTTGTAATGTTGGGAGTAATACTTAGAGTAAAATGCACACACATGTTTGCGTTTTTTTTGCATACACTAAGGGTAGGTCATATGCATACTAAAAACGTATAAAAT